TGCTTCTCATTCCGATCTTTACCCTTTTCTCGTCGGGCTCGCTCCAAAGCTTAGCAGAGTATTAGCTAGAATATCATGCCCGTACTGGGCAGCGATGTGCAGGGGCGTCGACCCATTTTTATCGGCGCAATCTATCAAAGCGCCATGATCGATCAGGGTTTTGCTCCTGGTAAATCTGGAACAAATCATTGTCAAGTTGTCCCCCAATTTCCCCAATCCTCGAATTTACCTGCCGTGAATCGCCGTCATGTGTAGGGGCGTCCGGCCGTCGTTGCTGCATCGGTTGATGTTCACTCCGTTCTCCAACAGAAAGGCCAAACAGTCCACTCCATCCTTAGAGGCAGCGGCTACATGTAAGGGCGCTTGTCCTGCAACATTGTTGTCCAGCAACGTTGATTTAGGGGACATTTTTGGTGAACTACCGCGAAAATTAACTGCTTCCAAATCAGCGCCCGAACTGGCTAGTTCTTGGCAGCATTCCAGATGCCCATTCAGGCAGGCGACGTGCATCGGGGTGTTGCCGTAGGCGTTTTGGGCGTTCACTTCGGCCCCTGAGCTCAACAGCAGCCGCGCCACGCTATCCAAGCCTGCAATCCAGAAATTGCGGCCGGGAATTCTGGGCAGAAGCCTCCTACTCACCCCCAGCCACAGCTACATGAAGAGGAGTGTACTGGTTTCGGTCCTTTGCGTTAATATCGGCCCCGTAACGGAGAAGCAGCTCGACTGTGTCACTGTGTCCCATCTGGACTGCACAGTGCAGAGGCCTAAAAACCCCACTAAACCTCATAGTTTTTGTGCAATCAACCCGCTTACCTGTAGTCTCGCTTGTCGCAGGCGTTAACAATGCATCCCCGGTTGATCAGTAGCTCGGAGGAAAAGGTATTTCCATTGAAAGCCGCGTGGTGCAAAGCCGTCCATCCTGACCGGTCAGTTATGTTAGGGTTCGGTACAACCCCCAGTAGCTTATCGATACAATTGTACGCATCATAGGCAGCCGCTATATGCAGTGGAGTTTGCCAAAGCCTGAAACCACCCAGTTTTAAACTTTCGCCCCCTAATCTCCCCCCAGTCCTTAACCGACTTGTCACGCGCGCAAACATCAGCTTCGTATTTCAGCAAAACATCCACAGTCTCGTCTGCATTGACTGCACAAGCCCTGTGAAGGGGTGTAACCCATCGGAAGTCCTTGGCATTAACTCGGGCCCCATGTTCCAGCAAAATGAAGGCTATTTGAGAGTTTCCTGTATATGCAGCGGCGTGCAATGGGGTGCGTTTTTTACAATCTGAATTCAAAAAGGGCGTTTAATGTGCGGCTCGAGCTAGCTGTTCAGCGACGGTTTACCGATGCAATTTATGTACTCGGGGTGCACCATCAGGTCCTCCACCTCGTCCACAATCCCAGCGAATATTGCTTGTATCACAAGGGGCTGAAATGGGCATTTGAATCAAGGGCCATAACCTCAAAAGATAGTTTCGGTATTTACTTGCTCCTCCAGCTGCAGGATGACCATGTTTACGGGATTGTGCGTTCTAAGTACTCGAACAGGTACTGCTCTATTGCATTATTTCCTTTAACTAAAAAAGCCTAAAATAACTTTTCGAATGTGTCAATTAACGTCAATCAGTCTCTTGTTTTGATTTTTTATGCCTGGTTCAGGTGGGCGGGTGTGAAACTTATCCCAGTTACGGTTCTACTTTGTTTCACCCGCCCAGTTGGACAGAGATAAAGAGCTGATGATGACGTTCAAATAAGGCTAGTCACTAGTCGTTGTCTCCATTGGCCACACGTCACTATGTAAGTTTGCGTAATGAGTTGAAAAAAGATGCGAGTTGAGTGACGGGTAAACAGCAAAATTAATGGTTTAATTGCAATTTCGGTGAAAGAAAACCCAATCAATAAATGTTATTTGTACTTTATTTTGATACAGAGTAATTTCAATAAATTAAGGAAACAATGCCACACCGGATAAGTCGCGATTTAAAGCTTATAAAGAAAGTTTCGAACCAATTTTAACAAAATAGAAAACAACATTGCACAACACTATCTACACAATATCCACTTAATTCGAGTAAACTTTGGCCAAAATACTGGCATAAATCAATAATGCAACACTATAACTAGTACAATTTTTTGTTGTATACTGGGCTCAGTTTCGGGCTGAAAAAGTGCGAAAATGCTCGAAAATTTTAAACAGTTTTCCAAAACCGTTAATCGGCTTAATGCGCAAATACTTCAAGCGATTGCGTTTGAGTTTCTCAAAATCTTGCCATTTAACCGTTAGAAATTGAAACGGTAAAATCGCTTCAAGTATTCAGCAGAATCAAAATCAGTCATGGTTATTTTTGTCGTTAGTGAGCAACATGTAATATACAGGGTGGTTTTTAAGTGCGGGTGGAACTTGCCACTTTCTGCCAGCACTTAAAGACCCTTCCTGAATATGTGTATCTAAATATTACCCCTCACATGGAGGAACCCGAGCATTCGCTTACGCGGGCGGATCTTTGCATATCTTCGAAGCCATCTCCTTTAAGGGCTCCAACTCCTTCCGACTGACCAAATTGTGTTCGGTGACAAAGTAGTAAAAATGCTTGTAGCAAGTGTTAACGTGCGCCTCCTAAAAACGTGGACAAACTCCCAGTACTCATAAATTCAAAGCCGCTTTACTGGCAGAGGACAGATTTGTCGACTTACCGCAGATATGGCCACAACATTCTGAAAATGATGAATATAAACGTGGACAAACACCCTGTGCAAACGAGCCAGTATCTTGCAGCATTGCGTGGCGAAGTTCTTCGGAAATGGCATGTCGCTGGTGCACGGGAACACCGCCTGATTGTTGATCTGCATCTCGATCCAGTCCATCAGGTAGCTGATGTACTCCCGGGCCGGCAGAGGAGTGGGTTTCTTGAACTTGCCCCCATCCGCCCAAAGGTACTCAAACCGAGGCCCCCCAGACATTGTCGGGCACGTTTGCTCCGTACAGTCGTCGCAAATCGTTCCATAGATCAGGTTGATGCGATTGAAAAAATCCACCACTAAAACCCTAGTAAGTTTCCTATGCGCCTTGAAGTTTCCGGTGGACTCACCATGGACGGCGATCCAATCGTTCAAATCCTCCCCAGGCGGCAATTTGACCGCGCCCCGCAGGTTGATGCCCGAATTGAGGCTGGCCTGGGCCTGCTTATGCAGGCTGTACCGTATCGTTCCATGAGCGAACTGTTTCTTGGGCCGGAAAGTCTGAAAACCTGCCTGATTAGAGCATGCCTATTTTTGGCATTTGTTCTCCAAGCGCCGTCCGGCTACACCCCTTTACCTTGCCTTTCTGGAAGAAGTCCAGGAAATTGTTGAAAGCCATTGGCGGCTTGCGGTTGTTTATGCCTTTCAATATCAACAATTAATTATTTACTTTACTCCCTTCAACCTCTAAAGGTAATGACAGCAGAGGTGCGGCGTGAAGCTAGTCACAGGTCGCCGCGTAGTAGAGCTGAGGCTGGCTTGGTCGTGCGTCATCATGAGAATAGAAAGCTCCAAAAGTGGATTTTTTTTGGGTCAGGTCAAGTTAAACCGTTGTTTCTGTAAGGAAAGAAGGAAACGCTCTGCGTTTGAATCACCCAGTTTATTTAAGTAAGTTTAAACGCAATTACACGCGCCCATCAACTTCCATATCTGCTAGATGCCGCATTTCACAGGTGGAATTTGATTCAGTCTTTTCTTGAGTTACATTATATAATGTGTTCCTTGTTGCGTAAATCACTGAAGTTATTTACTGTCT